CCCCCGCCTCTGCCTCGCTCACCCTTTGCCGCTCATCTGCTCCGGGCTCGCGTACAGATACGTGCCCACACCACCGGTGATGGACTCGTCCCCACCCACCCCGCCAAGGTGGTGGTCAGACTCCCACGCGAACGACGTTCGCTTCTTGGAACTAGCCTCGGTAGCTGCCGCGGCGGCCGCCGCAGCGTCGGCGGCAGCGTCCGCGACTGCGGAGACGGCGCCCGCGTTGATGCCGTCGGCGGGGAGTATATGTCTCGACAAGCCGAAGTCCTGGGAAGGGGGAGGAGTGGTGGGACAGCGGAGGGTTTCAGAGAATGCCTCCCCTCCGTGGTGGTGGCGCACACATGGGCGTCGATCGGTCGTGATAGCTTAGCAAGAAAAAGTCGGGAGGGGAACACAGGAGAACAGATTTGTGTGCTGCCGAGAATCACGTGCTGCAGACATTCGTGTGTTGCAACTCTCCGTTGAAAACGAACTGCTTGCACACACGCACGAAGACACACCGGCATATTTTTCACTCATCCTCTCAGCTGGTTGGGCGAGCGGTCCATGCTGAACAAAACAAACCGAAGCCTCCCTGCAAAAACACACGCGCACAAACTCACAAAATATCGTGAGAGAGACAAATAAAAAAACAAAACAAGCGGCCACAACGGCATAATCTCATCGCTCACCCCGATCTTGACGGCCCCGTCCCTCATGAGGAAGCAGTTGGCCGGCTTCAGGTCCCGGTGGATGAGCCCGCAGGCGTGCACGTACTGCAGCCCCTTGGCGACCTGCATGAAGATGTGCATCACCTGGGGCATGTCCACGCGAGTCTGGCTCCTCCGCACGGGGTCCTCGTCCAGGAAGAACTGCAGGTTGTTGTGCGAGCAGTACTGCATCTGGATGTACAGCCACAGGTCGTACACTTCCTTCGACCTCCTCCTGCCCCTCCCCCCCCCCCCCCCCCCCCCCCCCCCCCCCCCCNCCCCCCCCCCCCCCCCCCCCCCCCCCCCCTGGCCTGCTGCTCCTTGTCCCACGCCCCCTTCCCGAAATTTCTTCGTCGATTGGAACCGGGAGCGGCGGTGGCGGTGGCGGTGGCGGCAGCTTCAGGGAGCCCAGCGGCAGCGGAGGAACGCGAACGCATCTTCCTCGCGACCACCCCCGGTTCTCCGTCCGCGTCACCCCCCGCGAGGGTCGGATTGCCGCCACCGTCAGCAGCGGCAGCGATCGGCCAGCTCTGCCCGCGCGGCCGGCTATTCCCTTCCGCGGCCGCGGCCGCCTCTGCGGCGATAGCCGCCGCGGCCACCTTGCCCTCGCCGTCCGACCTATTGCCCGCTCTGCTTCTGTGCCGGCGGTCCTGTTCCTTCTCCGCCATCGTGTCCGGCGGGCTTCTTCTGCTCGGGACGTCCGACAGCGCAAGCTCCAACGTCGCCGGGGGGGGCGGACGACACCCCGGTTCTCCGCCACCGCCCGGGCGACGATGTTGATGATGGCAGTTCGTACCGGCCGCGGCAGCGGCGCCGCGGACACCGTCATCTCCCGGCGGGAGCGGTCTCACCCGGTTCCAGCTGAAGCTGTCATCGTCGTGGTTGCTGCCGTGCCCTCTTCCGTCGTGGCTACTGTCGGAGTCTTCCCCTTCGTTCCCCCGTCCCTCACCGCCGCCATCGCAGTCAGCGCTCCTCTCTTCGCCCTCCTTCGCCGCGCCTCCACCGTCTGACCGGCAGGATGGCGGCCGCGGCGGGGCGTACAAGTCGTTCGTGTCCGCCTTGCCGTCGCTGCAGCAGCCATCCCCCTCCCCCTCCGCGTAAGCGCTGGCGCTGGCGGTAGCGGCCGCGCTGACGGAGCCCGAGGGTCGCCGTCCCTCCGCCGGCGCCGTCCAGCATGTCCCCTCCTTCGAGCAGCCGTCACCACCACCATCGCCGCCGTCATCGTCGCCGGCGCCGCCATCTTCATGGCCGGACGCACCCACCAACCAGCCGTCTCCTTCCCCACCTCCCTCCTCCTCCTCCTCCTCCTCCTCCTCCTCTTCCACCTCTTCCTCCTCTACTCTATTGCCCTCTTCCACAGCCTCTTCTCGTTCGAAAACGAAGCCAGGCATGCTCGCATCATCGTCATCATCGCCGACCTCCTCCCCCTCTTGCCCTTCCTCCTCGTGGTACTCCGTCTCGTAGAAGCTGACATCGCCCCACGCCCGCCGCCCCACCCCCGACCTTCCACCGCCGCCGCTGTTCCTTCTGCCATCGGCACTCCGACTCCGGCTATCGACAGACCAGCCGTCCACACTCTCCTCCTCGAAGAGAGGGGTCGAAACCTTCGGGGTGTACCTGTGTCCCCAGCGCGGCGGCGGATTTTCCACGCCACTACCGGCGCTGCTGTTGTCCTCACCGCCGCCTCCGCCATTGCTCTCTGCCGCTGCTGCCACCGCCGCCCTCCCCGTGCCATTCGGCATCACGAACAGCGGGCTCTGGAGAGGAGACGCTCCAAACCCGAGGCAGCCGAGACCAACAAGGCCGTCATCCAAGTTGCCGCCGCGTCCGCCGCCGCCGCCGCCCCTGTGTCTATTGGCGTACGCGTACGTCTTCGTCTTGCTGCTGCTCCCCGCCGCCGCCGTCGTGCCGGCGCCGGTGTCCTGCACTTGTTGTTGGCGGTGGCGGTAGTGGTGGACCTGGGGGAGGTGGCTAGCCCGCGAGCAGCCGCCGCCACCGCCTCCGCCCGTGGTCTGGTCCCAGCTCTCGCTTACCGCGGAAGGGGCGCCCTCTTTTCGCAGCAGCTCCTCATCTTCCTCCGTGAACTTCTCTAGCCACGCCTGATTTGACGAAATACATAGCGCGCGCGTGTTTCGTGTGGTGAAGGCGAAGGGATGTCGGGTCGGGTTGGGTTGTTGTGTGCCGGAACAAGAAAAAAAATGTTCGGGGGATCGGGGGGGGGCATGGGCACGGGAAGGGTGTATCCCCTGCGTAAGCACGAACGTACGTCAGCACCAAACAGGGTGTCAATTAGTGAATCTCTCCAAGCCGACAAACGTAGCTAGCTCTACAAGGAACACCAGACTAAACTAGCACAGCGTGCCGTCCGAAGACATAGATAGCTGCAAAAAACTTGAAAACACACAAACACGTACACGCACAAAACTTGCCTGGTAGTAGCGCACGATGTTCGGGTGGTCCAGCAGCGACATGATCTTCACCTCCCGCAGCACCTTCGCGAGCTGGGGCTGCCACCGCGGGTCGGACGACAGCCTGATCTTCTTCACGGCGTAGTCGTGCCCGTCCAGGCGGTTGCGGCACTTGAACACCGTCCCGAAGCCCCCCTTGCCGAGCTTCTGCCCCTCCACGAACTCCGTCCGCAGCCGCCGGTTGGTCACGAGCAGCGCGTCCTTGTCGTCGCCTCCCGTGTCGACAACCGCAGAGGCGAGGTCGTCATTATCCCCCCCGCCGCCACCGCCGCTGCCGCCGCCGCTGCTGCCGCAACCGTCGCATGCGCCCAATACCAACTCCTCATCCTCCGTCCCGGAGCCGGCGGAGGGGCGCGGGCTTCGGCTTGGCCGCCTGCTTCCCCCCCTGCCGCGCGCCCGTCCCCCCGTCGTGGGGTAGTCGGGCTTGGCCCTCCTTCGCCCCAACCCGCCTTCCCAATCACTGCAGCCGCCGTCGTCGTCGGGCGAAAAGTCCCGGCTACGGTGCCTCTGCGCCCGCGGCTGCCTTCGCTTGCCGCTGCCGTCGTCCTCCGCCTCCTCTTCATTCTCCTCCTCGTCATGGCTGTCGTCGTCATCTTCCTCTGACTCTCGTGGAGAAGCAGGTCCCCGCGAACCCGACCCCTGCCGCCGCCGTCGCCGGTCGCTAGACCGCGGGACCGCTCCCGCTTCCGGAGCTCTTCGGCGGGAGGAAGAGGCGGTCGAGGAAGAATCCTTGCGGCTCTTTCGTGCCAGGTGCTCGCCACCGACCCCGCTCTCCGCTCGGGGCGAGATCTCGGACGTGCGGGTGCCCGAGGTGGCAGACGAAGGCGAACCCCCGTCCAGTCCTTCCAATCCCGCCAGCACCTGCCCCTCGTCTAACCGAGCCGTCGAGGATAGCCTCCCCGCGTTGCCGACGCTATCGGCGACTACAACCTTGCCACCTCGATCGCGATCAGGCTTGAGCGATTTGGACCCAGATGTGTTGGCAAGACGGGGAGAGGTAACAGGGGAGGAGGACACGCTTTCGACCCTTGAGTCTATGCTACTGCTGCTGCTGCTGCCGATGCTGCTGCTGCCGATGCTGCTGCTTCGACTGCCCCTGCCGCCGTTCAGCGGGGCGGCGGCGGCCACGGCGACGCTCCCGTCAACAGCAGCCGACACCGCACGGCTGAGCTGACCACCGTCGCCTTTCGCCGCCGCGCCGTCGGGGGCTCCTTCCTCCGAGCCGAAGAGCGAATGCCACCCTTGCCGAGGGTGCCGCCAACATCTACCGCCGCCGCCGGCGCCATCGTGCCCTGGCGGGGAGTGGGACTGCCGCAGCGCCGGCAGAGAGTGCACGCGCTGGATGTGGACCTCGTGCATCGACCTGGCCCGCTGCAGCACCCCGTCGGTCGGGAAACTGCTGTCGAGAGAACCCCTCCCCTCTCCTCCCGCGGCGGGCGACCCGTTGGGGCCCGAGCCAGTGAACATGGCCGACGCGCTCGCCCGTTGCTGGAGAGAAGGGGAGGTCGCCAACGCGGGGAGGGGGAGTTCCTCCCCAGGAGACGAAGCGCCTCCGAGAAGAGAGCGCTCCCGGGCCGGGCCGGGTCCGGCGGTGGCCCCGGCGGGGCGCTCCCTATCGTCGCCGGAAACGACGACGTCGGGGCTGCCGTTCCTGCCAAGCTTGGTGGCGGAACCCGCCCGGAGAGTTATCGTCGTCATGTTCGCCATGGCCGTCGCGCCGTGCTTGTACGCCAGGTAGGCGACGCAGGCGACAATGGCGACCACGCCCCCCACCAGGGCCGCGAGTAATCCCCACGACATGAACAGCCCCTCGTTGCCCGGGTGGAGCACGCCGCCGGCCAGGAACTGCCGCAGCCCGCCGTCGCCGCCCGCCGCCGTTTCCTCGCCCCCCATCCCGTTCTTGCTCCTCCGCTCTTCGATCATCGCCTTCTCGACGCCGTCGAGCAGTGCTTGCCTCCAGTCCCCTATTCCCATGATTGTGCCTCCTCCTCCTCCTCCTCCTCCTCCTCCGCCGCCGCCGCCGCCCCCGCCGCCGCCGCCGCCGGCACCACCCCCGGCGCCGTTGATTGCGTCGCTACCGCTAGCACCCCCTACCCTGATGCCGGTCTGGTCGACCGGCCGCGCGGCCTGCGACGGGACTTTGACCACCGGGGGTGGTGGCATCTGCACTAACCCGGCCGCGATGCCGGCGCCACCGCCGAAGTCCCCGCCCCCGTCGCGTGCGTCCCTGCCCGCCGCGTCAACGAACGACCTCCGGCTGGCCATGCCCAACGGGTGAGGGTACCGGTCTTGAGTGGTGACGGGGAGGTCCTCGACGGCGGCCGCGTGGAGCGGACCCCTCCTCAGCGATGATGAGACGAAGAAGTGGCCGTTCAGGAAGCCCACCTGGGCCTGCAGGTTTCCCTTGCGCAAGCCCGGTTGCAGCAGGCCGGTGGCCTTACCACTGCCACCGCCACCACCGCCGCCACTGCCACCACCACGGGCCCCGTGGAGCCTCGCGACGGCCGCGGGCACCACTGCTTTCGCCTCCGGGTCCTCGCGAGTCGACGATGCATCCCAGGTTCCACCGTCATCGTCGTCTCCCGTGCAGGAGGAGGAGGAGGAGGAGGAGGAGGAGGAGATTAAGCTGACGGAGTCTTCATCGCCGTCAGAGCAAACGCTGGCCGAATCTTGCGCCGCCGCCGCCGCCGCCTCTGCCGTAGCAGCAGCGGTGAGTTCGTTGCCATCGCCGTTCGTCAGCAGCAGCAGAGGCCCCTCGTCTTGCTGGTGGGACCAGTCCACCTCTTCGCCGGCAAGCCAGTCGTCACTGCCGCCACCGCCAACAACGGAAGCTGCCGGCATCAAGGAGGTGGTGGCGGTGGTAGCATCACCGGGGTAGCTGCCCGGCGGTGGCCGGAGCATCGACATCGGGGGCGGGAGTATGTCCACCCACTCTCGGCCCCGTATGCCGTACAGCGAGACGGCTAGCGCGGGCATCTCCTTCCGCCACAGCACGCTCCCATCCATGGGGTCCATCGCCACCACGTAGGCGTTGTTCTCGTAGAGCAGGTAAGGGAACCGATCGACGTGCTCCTCCCCAAACTTCCCTCTCCGCCTGGTCTGCTTCCCGCCACCGCCGCCGCCGCCGCTCTCTGCCCCGCGCGGAATGTCCTTCTCCCGATCTTTACTCGAACCCCAGCTGCTGCTGCTGCTGCTGCCGCTACTGCTGCTGATGCTGTCGCTTTCCCACTCGTCATCGTCAGCGCCTACCGGCAGGGGCAGGGCCTTGACCGAGTCGTCATCGTCGCTGCTGCTGCTCCCCGACCTCGCCCGGATCACCCTCGTGTAGCCCTCGCGATCGGCGGCGGCGACCTTCGCGCGCGTCAACGCCGTCACGCCGCCCCTGCCCTGGAGGTCGAGGGCGCTGAAGTGGGCCACCGTCACGAACCACAGCTCCTCGGAGGTCTCCGCGTCCAGCGCCCGGACGACATACTCGTCGCGCTGGAGCAGGAGGTTGCTGTTGGGCGGCGGACGATGCAGCTGTGGCTGCTGCTGCTGCTGCTGCTGCTGCTGCTGCTGCTGCTGGTTGCGGTGAGAGCCATACTCCCCCCATTCCCACGGGCCACCGTCCCTGCTGCCGACCTCGTCGTTCTCGTCCTCCTCCTCCTTCTGCTCCGTCGGCCCCCAACCCTTCCCAGCGCGCCCCCTGCCGCCGTCGCCCGCTTCCCGAACGGGTCTGCTCTGAGCCCCGCCGCCGCCGCCCACGCGCCTGGCGGTCCCCGTCTCCGTGTCGAGGGAGAACAGCTCCGTGGTCTTCTCGCCGATCAGCAGGCCGCAGCTCTCGTCCTCCACGATGTCCCCGTCCGAGTCCGCGTTGACGGCGAGGCACGCCATCCTCGGCTCCAAGACCAGGTCCGGCGCGCTCGAAGTGAGCACGCTGAGCTTCCCGTTGGCTCCGAGCGAGTAGATGACGCCGTCGAGGCCCGGGACGACGAGACCTTCGCCGAGCGCGTTGCGGTACCTCTGCTGCTGCTGCGCCCCGCCGTCCTCGCCGCCGTCCTCGCCGCCGCCGCCGCCTTCGTGAACGGTCGTGCTCGACGACACAAGGGGGCCGCCGGAGTCCGCGTAAACGCCTCGGACATCCCCGGTCCAGGCGTCCAGGGTGTGGACGTGGCCATCGACGGTGACGGCAACGACGGCGTGGTCTTCCCGATGCGGCGGCGGCAAATCCCCGGCCTCCGCTGCCGCCGCTGCCGCCTTCTTTGCCAACATCAGAAACAACCCTAAGAAAAACGGCGGCAATAACCGCGAGGGAGGCATGCGAGCCTTTCTTTGTTGACCGCGGCGGCGGCGGTTGCCCGCACTTGTTGCCCGCCGGGCTCCACCACCGCTGCCGCTGCCGCCGCCGCCGCTCTCTGGTGTGTATGAAGCTACGGTTGCGCGCGTCCATCCTCCTGGTCGTCGCGTATTAGCGCGCGTGCCAGCGGTATGCCAGCGCATCCTGTAGGGAAGCCTGGAGTGGGTGTTTGGAGGGGGGGGGGG